AAGCCTGCCAGCCCAGAGCCAGCAGTCACTGCCCCGACCCAGTGGCCCCAAAACATGAGCCAGCAAGCCACTGGTAGTCAGACCTCCACCACTCCCCAGGAGCAGTCTGCCAGCTCCCAGGAGCCTGCCAGGACATAGAGAAGGCAGGCGCCTTTCTGGTCCAGGGTGGAGATCATGGAACTTATTCAGGTTTGGGGGGGGGATGCCCCAATGTCCATGATCTTCACACTAGACGGAGGAACGCGGCCGTCTATAGCAGGATAGGTGTCAGCCTGGCCACCAAAGGCCACATGCAAACCCAGGAACAAGTTTGAATTAAAATCAAGTTGGTCCGGCAAGACCTCCAACCCTGAGCTTCCCCTCCCCCTTCTTCCCCTTGCTTCCCCCTTCCAGCTCCCTCCTCCCAGGTTTCCCCCTCTCCTCTCCCACCATCTCATCTCCCTTCTCCTGCCTCCTTTCCGCAGTCTCACCAAAGTTTCATTCCTCCCCCCAGTTTTGTTAAATAAAGGGAGTTTGCGTTCATGTGTATTTTATTTGACATCAGGATGGGGGGTTAGGGAGGGGTAAGTGGAAGGACGTGAGGGAGGAATGAGGCACAAGCCCCCAGTGGGGCAGACCAGGGAACTTAGTGCTCCTCAGGCTGTAAGCTCTCCCTCAGGGCCTCCTGGATACTGACAGCCCCCCTCCCCCCCCCCATGGACTTCCCTGATGGCAGCCTGCAGAAAGTGCAGCCAGGCTCACAGCAACACATCCAAGAGAAACATCAGAATGCCCAGGGACAGCTCCAGCTCCATCTCCATGTTTCAGAGTGTTGTGATGTCCCGAGTGAGGGCAGCCAGAGCATGCAGAGACAAAATGCTTTGCTGTTCCTCTTCGAGGTAGGCAAGCAAGCAGGGAAACCTGAGATCTGGCTGTCCAGAGGGGGTCCCTTTAAGCACAGCCCTCAGATAGCCTCAGGCAGCAGCCACACAAAGTAAATCCTGACCTGATGCCCTGCCGGACCTGGTTCCAGCTGGCCTTAAATGCGATTTAGCATCCACTCAGGGTAGACACGCTATGTTGAAATAGCAAAACGCTATTTCGAAATGCATTGTATGTGTAGACGCATTATTTCAAAATAAGCTATTTCGAATTAACTATTTCAGAATAGCTTATTTCGAAATAATGCTGTAGTGTAGACATACCCACAGGGAATGGAAGAAGCTCAGCAGAACCTATCCAGTCCACCCTGAGGCCCGGTACAGGATTAACCTGCCTGCAACCTATGAGCTTAGGCTGTGATCAGTCCTAGATGTCCCACCGGATAAGCATCCACCCCTGCCCTGTACATTTACTTTGGCAAGGCCACTCATCTAGTTCACTACTGAGCCAAAGCTTGTCTGCTTGGAGCATCAACTCACTGTCTTTGTGGTGCCACAAAGACACTGGTTTTCTCACTCAAGCGTGACTTTCTGTAACCCCATCTAGGTGGGATATGTTGGAAAAAATCATTTCATCTGCCTGTTCAGAGACCCCGACTTCCAAACTAGCTTCAGTCTTCTCTCATTCCTCTGCATAGCAGTGGAGCTGAGGAGACAGTCAGGAGATCCTGTCCGATGGGACCCTGCCCCACATCAGGGGGAGACAGGACGGAGGAAGCAGAAGCACTAATGCGGAACAAAGGAGGCGCACCAGACACCAGGACACGACATATTGTATATGTTTGGTGTGAAATAGGGCCTAGCCTGTCCTAAATGTGTTGCTCTGAGAGCCAGAGGGGCAAGGGCAAAGTGGAGAACAGCTGTCTCCCCGGCCCCGCGCCCCCATTCCCCCCTCCACCTCCAGATAACACTCGTCACCAGGAGAAAGAATGTTCCCGGCCCATGAAACTCCATATGTGGCCAATACAAGGCACAGCACTGATTAAGATACCGCCCCCCATCCAAGTTCTTTCATGCTCCAAGACAAGGGGCTTTAGATGTCATAATAAGGATGATCCAACAAAATCCAATGAGCTGTAGCAGGCAACAATTCTACCCACCGAACTCCATCCAGCTCTTCCCTCGAACCTGGGAACTGCTGCTTCTCCTTACACAGCAATAGGGAAGCCCTATGCTGCCCACCTCCCACCCACCCATTTTTTAGCATGTAAAACTTACTGTCTAGCTGGAACAAACCGCTGGCTATTCCAGGGACCTTCAACCTTTCACAGGCTTCCCCTTCCAGCTGCAGCTTAGGAATGAACAGTCCCATTTGTTTTTCTCAGCCTCCTACCACCCTGCCCTTCCCTCCCCTCAATACCCAAGGAGTCCTTACCACTGTCATGGCTCAGTCCAAGGTGCAGGAGGCAGAAAAGGAGCAGGCTGCCCAGCACTCGGACTCTGCTGTGCCTCATGGTATATGCTCCCGCAGCAGGGAAAATGAAGAGGGTGCAGGACAAGAGAAGTCCCAGCCCTGCCTGGGTTAATGTTGAACCAACATGAAGAAACAGGATCCAGGAGGTCACAGTGTGTCAGGGCCAGTGGGGCTGAAGCTCCTGCTGTGCCTCCTGTGCTTGGCTTCTCTCCCTCCCCTTCGTGCATTTTCACTTTCAACCATTTTACTGATCCGAGCAGCACAACACCACAAGAACAACACTAGCTTGCTCTGACAGTTTGGTCATGACCACCACACTGGGGTCAGGTCAAACATGAGAGACTGCAGCCTCAACTGCGGGGAGGCCAGGGTCAGCACATGACAGGAAAGCAGAAGCAGACAGAAAAAGAAGGATGCTCCCAGACTACCCAGCAGCAGAGCCAGGAAAGCCCAGCCCACTTTGGAGTTAACATTGTTGAAACAGCTCCTTATTTTTCTCCCAAGCCATCTTAGCTCCCATCTTGCCCCATTGCTATTGGTTCTGTCACATGGGCTATGTCTACACTATGAGCTACCAATGTGATTCCCAACACACACACACACACACACACACACGCTCATTAAGAGTAGTGTGAGTATAAATAGTTGGGTGGCCATAGTAGCACAGGTAGTGGCAGCTTGGCACAGAATACTTGTGCTGAATACTTGCCCAATGGGTTCAGATGGATTTGTACTCAGGACAGCTGAGCCATGCATATGTGATCTGGGAATCAGCTGCCTATCTCAGAGTAGACACAGCCATAGCCTCATGTACAACTCCTCCCCTCACATCCAGGCAGACACCTAATCCTCCTGTTCCTTCCTCTCTGCTCTGCCCTGGTCATCTTAGATTATTGAAGCCTCCTCCTCTCTGGTCTCCCCAATACTCACCCCTCCCCCCCACACACACACTCTTCCACTCCATCCAAAATACAACTGCTAAGATTCTCTTCCTTATTCATCAGTCCCAAATTATTCCCCACTAACTCCCTTTTACCATCACATCAAGTTTACACTTTTTATCCTTGCCTCTGATGTCCTATACTACTCCATCATGTTTTCAGGCTGGATTTCCTCTTAGCCCCCTTCTCACTCACTCTTCTCCTTGTGGCCCCTTGCACATGAAACAATCCCACAATCCCCCGGTGGTAGGCCCCCCAGCTCTCCTCCTCCAAACCCCTCACTAAAATAATGTACGAGATCAGGAATCAGGATGAAGATGACCTACCCCTATGCTTGTCCTCTCCTCTGAGCTTGCTGGGCATTGCATCATGATGTCCTCAGAGTAGGGACTGATCCCTATAGAAATTTAACACAAAGACAGTGCTTTAAGGAAGGGAACTTTCTCCCAGCCCTTCTCCATGCCATAGTTACAGTCTACCATTCAGGATTCCATTTTTTCCCTCCTCTCTGAGCACCATAACTGGTGGTCTGCCAGAGAAACCAGCTCCTCTCCCCTCCCCCTCCCAATCACCAAAGAGAACAGGGGGAGGGAGAAGGAGGTTAGCAGCTGCTACTACAGCCCATTGGAATTCTTTCCAATTACTTTAATAAAGCTATTCCAAATCCCTTCTCCCACAAAAGGGCAAAGAGGGCAGTGCTGGAGGCCCCTTTTACCCTACACAATTAGGATGGTACTAAAAAAGATGAAACCAAAAAGAAAAAAAGATGAAACTAATCTGCCGAGCAAGAAACTAGTCAGATGGACAGATAAGCCCTGGGCCTAGAGACATGGGGGAGGAGGCTGCTGAGAACAGGAAGGCAGGATTAACCTGGGATTTGTGAAATCAAAATGACTAATGAACCCAATAAAGGTCTAGTGCTTCATATAGCGCATTAAAGAATAGCAATGTGGCCATCACCAGCGTGAGCTTCCTCAGAGCAGGGCCAACATGGAGCAAGCTCAGAGCACAGAGAACAGGGTTGCTAGAGCCTAGGGGACAGTGGCTCAATACGACATTCTTTGCTATATCCCGCTGCATTCACGGAGCATTTTTCTGGTCCATGCATTAATATATCTTCTAACTAGTGTTTACCTACATGGGGGAGTGCAAATATTAGTATTGGGACAGCCAAAGAAATGGCTCTTTGGCTAGGGGTACAAAGAGCACTTACATAGGCTCCCTCCCCCACCTGAGAACAGGGGTTACAGGAAGAAGCAAGTCACACCTGGGGTGTTTGGGATAACCCCCTAGGATTCTCTTAGGAAACAGCTGAGGTGCCCTAGGTCAGGAATGTTGTATGATGGGTCAGAGATCAGCCTGGAAACAAGATGTATTAGAGAGAGAACAGCAAAACATTAGAGAGAGAAATGAAGTGGGGCTGGAGAAGGGAGGAGGATGTATGGAAAGGAGAATCCACACTATTGGGACAGCTAGGAAAACAGAGCCATGAACTACAGCCAGAGTCTCTTGCACAGAGGGAGGGGTTAATGACACTAGCACTTTCCAAGTCACAGCCAGGAGCAGGAGGGTCTTGCCCAGCTGATTAACAGCAGGTCAGAGGGAGGCAGAGGATATTGCAAGGACCTAGGCTTAGCCCTTGTGCTCTTCTACAGTCCCTACCTTGACAAACCAGTTTGATTTTTAGGCCTGAGCTACAGGACTGCAGTGGCCTCAGGACTCCTATCACTGAGGAAGGGTGGTCTGGCCTGACTAGATGGGAAAGCAGAGCCCCCAGGCTATCAGCTCACACCACAGCATTGGAGGAGGGCTAAAGTATCTCTATATTTCAGCTACACCACTCAGTTGTCTTGCTTATGGTCTCCTGCCTTACTAGAAGAAAGCAGGCAACTGGGGTCAACACAGGGAATAAAAGAGGCTGAAAACCAGGGGAAAGGACACTGCAGGACTCCTGCAACTGTACCTCAGTCCCCAGGAACCATAGCAGGGGAGAAATGCCCGGATCACAAAGGGTGATCTCTGTTTCATTAAGGTCACTTTGTAACTGTGTCAATATTTGCCAACGCAGAGAGCTGGGCCAGTCACCCAGAGTCAGGAGTGGGAACATCCTGAACCAATCATTCTAGTTTCAAAAACAACCTCCATTCACACAGTTTAGCAGCAGCACTGGGCCTAGCTGCACCCTATTTTCATAACAAAAAAACATAGTAGCATGAGCTTTCGTGGGTAAAACCCACTTCTTTTATCCATGAAAGCTCATCATACATTTTTGTTAGTCTCCAAGGTGCCACAGGATTACTCATTTTTAAAGTTACAGACTAACAGGGCTACCCCTCTGAGCCTATTTTCATAAGGACTATTGAATAAGGGTGCATCCAGCCGTGATAAGGTGCCAGCAAAGCATTTGAGATGGGCTCTCCTGTCATCTTATTCAACATTAATTCAAACTGGCTTGGATCCGAAATCATTGCCTGGCCTAAAAACTGGCTAAAAGCTCTTAAATTAAGGGGAATGATACATGACAAAGGAATGAAGTACAGGAAAGGATTTAAAGAGGAGAGCCACAAGAAGCAGTAGCAGCAGTCTGGTCTTCCTACTGCTTTAGTAACATTCCAAAATGGGAAGTAAAAATACTAACGACATTCTTGGTAGTAATCGGTTACATGGTCCAATGTGCTAGTTGGAGATGTAGGAGTAGGGAGGGAAGGGTGCTAGAGGGCTCCCAGATCTCCACCCCCATGGGGCTGCCAGCTCCCACGCTCCCTAGCAGAGTTTAACTGTTAATGGGAACCAATAAGCATCAGTTTATCAGTTAATTGGTTAACCTCTTACATCCCTAATTATTGGGTGAGTGTAAATAGGAAGAAACTGGACACCTATCAGAATAATCCTAAGGGACTGTAAATGGGCAGGCCTGTTCTGTAGAGCCACTTGCAGACCAAGCTTGGCTCTACAGCTCCTTGCCTCAGGGTCCGTTCACTGTCCACAGCACTTATGTCCAGTAACAAACCCTCTTCTTAGGGTCTGCTTTAACATAAAACCTACTCACAGTAAGGACTCTCCTATCCTTGTCTCCCACTGGGCACAGCCCTACATCTCTCAAGCCCACCTGTCACCAAGCTCTCTACCAGGCTCTATTCAGTCTTCTCCCTTGAAGTCAGGGTGTGGTACTGGCCCCTTTCTTGGGCCTGTATTTACTGGATTCTCAGGTGGCTCCTCCAGGAGCTTCCAAGCAGCTTCCTTCCTGAGCCTTCTCAGCAGCTCAGTTTGCTTATGTGCACAGTAATGGTCCCTGAATCCTCCTGAGAGATCTTGATGAAACTCTCATGGAGGTATCATGCAATGCTCTCCTGGAGTTTCTTACTTCTTCCTCTGCAGTAGGACGTTCTCCACACTACTCACGGAGAACTTCGGCAGATACCATGCAGTGCACAGGCTAACAACATAGGGTCTAGGCAGCTTTGGAACACCAGCAGCAGTGCACTGTGCCTTTGTAACATTCAGGAGTGAGATATCAACTAAAAGCACCATTGCCTGCAGAAAATGGTGCCACCTTTTAGGGTCATTGCCCTACACTCTAGTGCCATGTAGTGGAGTAATTCCCTCCCCATTTCCTTCACCTCTGGCAGCCCACACTTTCCAGGGCTGGTGCTGTGAGTGGTGCCACACCTGAGCTCTCCCAAGCAGAAGTGTCAATGAGCACGTCTTGGTTAAAGGTTACAGGGAGCAAAAGAAGGGCATTCTGAATCAAGTTTTGCTTTCTGTTATGATTAGACTGACAATGGTACCTCTGTGTGCTGCTTATCTGCAGCTGCTGCCTTGAAGAGGTCCTTCTCCACACAGGATGCCTGGGCCAGATAAGGATGAGAAAGAAGAGTCAGTATAACATGTTCAATGAGATTCTGCAACCCAGTGCTGCATCAGACCATCTGGGCATGGAGGGTGAAAACTATAGGCAGCCTAGAGAAGGAAAGAGCAGACAGGAGAAAGGTTCAGGAGTCTGAACAGGAAAAGGAGAGAGAAATGCACCAGGACATAACAGGACTTCCATGGCAGCAAATACAGATGCTGCAGACCCTTGTGGACCTACAGGTTCAGCTGTTATGCGCTTGTCTCCTTTTTCCATCCATGGAGAACTCTACCACAGCACCTCCCTTCACACACACTCCAACATTCCACGTAATGGCAGAGGAAACATATTTACCCCTGCCACTCAACCACAAGGTAAGGATTTTTGTAAATGGTGAGCCAGTTAAATGATAGTACTTGACTGGTTAACTATTGTAACCAGGGTCCCACTGCAGCCATGAGGTCCTACCACCCACCCCATCAGCCCTGCTGCCACTGGAGTTAACTGGCAAGAGCTGTTTAACCTGTCAGCATTCCTACATAAGGACATTAAGGACAACAGCAGTTTCACATACACCAACCTGTGAAAGCCCTATGTAACTAAAATGGATAGGAAAGTTCTTAAGTTCTTTCTCTGTAAGTTCCTTTCCATTAATTTAGTAAATTTTAATGTATTTTCTTTGTATTAAGTTAGAGATTTGTTTGTGCACTGGTTTTGTTAGAGTAAAATTCTATTATTTGGAAAATAATTCATCACTATTAGTTCACAACACTGCTGCAGTGCCTAGCACTTGTGAAAATATCACTCATCACTGTACTACAGTATGACAGCTCATTGGATCAGTGACAAAGTATAATATTAATAAATACCAGAAACTGCAAATTTAAAAGGTACAGAGATAGTATTGGTGTATACCAAGTACCAGATAATTCCTAACAGGCCCCAAAATATCAGGGGCAGGTAGAGAAAAAATATACCACAGCGCATTACTGTGGCTAACTTTTAAAGTGCTCTGTGCAATCCTCCCTGAGCTATATAGCTCCATGCTAAGCTCTTCTAACATCCCTAGTATCTAGCTGTTCAAACTGTTGACAGCTGCTCCATAGCCTCCTGGTAACATCCTCCCTTTGCTTCACAGATTTTATGTAAGACACAGCAGATAACTATAGCTATTAAGATTCCTCCTCCCCTCCCCCCGAGATACAATTTTGTAAGTAAACAATACCAGCACCCCTTCAATCTACCAAAAGCACATTCAACCATCATTCTGCACCTGCTTGGGCACGCTGTTCCTAGGTGCTGTTGAGGTAGCTGGTGTATAGCTTTAAGAGGCAATGGAGCAGAGAAGTCCCCGGCAAGGCTGATAGTAGCATTTCAACATTGCCAATGGTAATTCACCCATTGTAGCTTTCTGAAGAGTCCTGTATTCTTCAACATGCACCTTGCTTGAGCAACCAACATCGATGTCAGTGATCCACTGAAGCACGTACAAGTAGTCCTTTCTTATTGATCTACTCTGTGGCAAAGTGGCCAGATGCCAAAATAGGGATATGAATGCCATCCACTGCTGTTTGGGAACCCCATTGCTGCAAATTCATCCTCTAGGTCTTGCACATTGCCTGGAGTCACAATCTTGGATAACAGAGGATGACTAAGCCCCCCGCATTGGATTTTTAAACTAAAAAATTATTTCACACTGACTGGCACTGCACATTTCCACAACGTAATTGCTTTACTTTTCCACTATCAGCAAAGTTCTCATTTTGGGGTCCCTATGCTGAAGGGCTGATGTAAGCTTGGCACACAGATCCAGGAATGTGGCTTTGAGCATCCAAAAGTTCTGCAGCCACTGCTCATCATCCCAAGCCTGCATTATGAGCCAATCTCAAAACCAGAAGCAGTGCGCCATCACAAGCAGCTGCTCTGCAAACATCACCAGAAATTTTGAGTTAGTTCTATACCCCTCTGTAATCTGTTCTCCGAGAAGCTGTCACATTCCCCATGGATTGGTTCTTCTTACAGCTCTACATATACCAGAGGATTGCGTGTCCTGTCCTTGCAATGTTTATGACAGTAGTGCAGAGCTGTGCAGGTGCCATGCTTCTGTCAGAGATAGTGGACTGAGAAAATGCATAGATATGTGGGATTTTTAATGAAGGCATGAAAATGATAGGGTATAGATGACATTATGGGATAAAGACAGGTGGACACTTGGAAACTAAACCTTACACAACTCACTTGATCTCCATCATGCCTTGTCAAAACATCCTGTGCTCTAGGGTTGCAGGGTGCACACTGGGATACCTACTCATGGTGCATTACACCCGACACTGACCCAATTACTCCTGGCAAGTACATGCAGCACAGGTGCAAGCATGTAAGCAATATTCTAACTATGGTGGCTTTGTGGCCATGAATTTGAGATGTAGTCTATCTACATTACAAAACTTTGGCCAAGTAACACTGAGCAACAGGCATGAAAGGAATCACGCACCAGTCAAAGAGGACGATGTCCCTAATGGGGTAGAACTAAGGAAAGAGAGGAATTCAAAGAGAGAAACATTGTCCAAATACAAGAAAAATGATCCTAAGAGTAAAGAGTCTAATGCTGTAGAATTCTCTCTCCAGGAAATGGCTAAGAGCCCCATCACTGGGGACACGTAAAGAGTCTAATGCTGTAGAATTCTCTCTCCAGGAAATGGCTAAGACCCCCATCACTGGGGACACTTAGAATTAGACAAGACTATTCTGCCCCTGCTCTGGCTCTGGAATGAGGCTGGATGGAGCCTAGTACAACTCTTTCATATTTAAGATTCTATACCCGCTAGTGCTCAAAGCAGCTAGTGCAGGGGGGATGGATGGCTGAGGTCAGCAGCCAGGGGAATAAACAGAGATCCAGTGCCATCCAATAAGCTTTTACAGAAAAAGCTCTGCCCATCACATCTAATAACATCAACTAATGGTTACTGGCTTCCAGAAGCTCTTTGCTGTGAGGTGTACCGAGGGCAAAGGAATGCAGGCCTTAACTCAGTAACAGCCAAGTTCAATACACAACTCTGTCTTCCGCAGAGGCACAAGTGAAGCATCTCCCTGGATTTGAGGCTGGGGCTACATGACAACTAGAAAAGGCAAGTACAACCCCCTTGTTCACAGGTGCCAGGAGTTTCAAAACTAGATTCATGGGCATGGCTTTGGCTCAGCTGAAATGAAGCCATATCAACCAAAGGAAAAGCCCATTTGTAGCTGTCTCACTGGTGGGAATCTTGGAGTAAGGCCATACGAGACCCCCAAGAGCTTGGTTCTCCCACGAGTGACTGGGAGAGAGACCCAAAGCCTTTGCACAGCAGAGAGAAAAGGAGCCCATCAGAGACCAGAGCCTTTTAATGAACAGAGGAACTACACAGTGCATTCAAATTACCCTCACTGAGACAGATAGACTCAGCCCATGGAAACTGAAGAGTGTTCAGTCACATTTGCAATGCAGAGCTGATCCATTCACTACTGGAGGCAAAGGAAGTGCTGAAGCAGAGCCAGCTGACAAGAGGTAAAGAAGGAAAGCCCAGGGAGCAGCTATCGGCATGCTCTTGAATGATAAGGCTATAAAAACACTAGACAACACACAGACCCTATGGAGAAGTGTCCAGCCGTGGCCTGTAGCGAGGAATGGAATGGAGCTTTGTTTGCTCTAACTGTAATCTTCAAAACTAGAGAAATCTATAAACCCTGCAGTACCCGGCTCAGCATCTGTTCAGTAGTGCCTGGTTCAACGATCACCCTCAGTGGACGAAAGGGGAAGAAATAACTGAAATACAGTAGTGCAACTGTGGAACAAAGCCAAACCAAGGAGAGGAGGGAGGTTAAAAACTGATTCAGTAGCTGCTTGTTTGCCCTCACTCTTGCCACATAGCACTGCGGAGCAATGAAGCTCATCTAATCCTTAAGCAGACTGGGGACAGGACACCAGTAGCACCATCTTTTGCAATAGTTACAAGTGGGATTTTCTTTGTAATAAGAGTCTCACACCATCAGCCAGAGCTTTCCTTTCAGCAGGCCTAGCACACATTACACACACATTTCCAGCAGAGAGGTGCACTTGGTGAGCAATATTTAGGGCTCGTGTACATTTAAAAACACTGCAGTGGTGCAGCTGTAGTTCTTCAGTGAAGTCACCACTGTGCTGATGGGAGGGGTCCTCCTATTGATAAAGATAATCCACCTCCTGAGAGATAGTAAGTAGGTCATTAGGAAAATTCTCCCATCAGCCTAGGGCTGACTACACTCCTGAGCCACACTATTACACCAACCTAATTTCCTAGTGTAGACTAGGCCTTATGTCACACCTTCCTGACCTCTCTAGGAAAAAGGTGAGAAGCACTGCTGGCCCTCGTCCTGCTACATGGGGCCCTGGTCTCCAAAGGAACAGAAAGACACAAACACACAAAAGTTAAAAAATAGATTTTATATCCTGTGTACATATAGAGAAGTCAAACAGGTCAGGCAGGGGTTGGGAAGATGCTGAGTGTCAGGTCCCTGTCTCCACCTCCACCACCTCCGCTACAGCACCAAATCCCACACCCTCCTGTATGATGACCACGTCACTGGAGGAGCCCTCATCCTGCATGATGATGCATTTGTGTTCGTGCTCAGAGACAGTGATCTCAATGATGTCATTGTTCACTTCCAGGTGCCCAGCAGGGGCCGCACAGCCTAGCACCCTGCTCCCCCCTGGCTCAGGTTTGTTCACTTCCAGGTGCCCAGCAGGGGCTGCACTGCTTAGTACCCTGCTCACCCCTGGCTCAGGGGGGCTGCCTGAAGGCTGATAAGTGGCAATGTAATGCCCATTAGTAGTCATCAGAAGTTCTGCCTCATTTATTGGTGCCTGCATCGCTACTGACTGCACCATAAGCACTGTAGGCTCCTCAGTCCCCCCTTCCTGGGGGATCTTCCTCTTGAGCCTCTTTCTTGCAGCCTTTGGAGTGTCCATGCCTAGCAAGACCGCAGCCTCCACAAACGTAATGGAGTCTCTCTCCCCCTTATGTGTGATTTTGTGACGCTTGAGGCTCTGCAGGAGGGTGTAGCCCATGCCACAGACATCACACTTGTAGGGCATATCCTCCAAATGGGATTTCTGGTGCCGGCGCAGCTTCGTGGCCAGCGTGTAGGCCTTGCCGCACTGCTCACACTTGAAAGGGCGCTCGCCGGTATGGAGGCGCTCATGGGCCCGCAGCGTGTGCGGGTCCTTTAGGGCCTTACCACATACCGTACACAGGTGGGCCTCCCCAGTGTGAGAGATGAGATGCCGCCGCAGCTCTGGCAGCTGGGGGAAGGCGTCCCCACAGAAGCGACACTTGTAGGGCTTCTCACCAGTATGGAGCCGCAGATGGCCCCGCAGGTTGCCCTGCTGCCGGAAGTCCTTGCCGCAGTAGGGGCAAATGTAGGGCTTCTCCCCCGTGTGGAGGCGCATGTGGTTACGCAGGGATCCAGGATTTGCCAGGTAGCGCTCACAGATGGCACACTTGCATACCTTAGGGTTGGCTAGGTTAAGTTCCTTCACGAGGTGGATCTTCCTGTGGATGCGGAGGGAAGGCCGGCGGGCGAATGTCTTGCCGCATTCCTCACAAGCAAAAGGCCGCTCGCCTGTGTGCAGCACCTCGTGCTCCCTCAGGTCCCGCTTGGTGCCATAGGCCTTGTCGCACTGCTTGCACTGGAAGGGGCGCACACCCCGATGGAAGAGCACATGGGCCTTGAAACTCTCCTCAGAGCTGTAGCTCTTGCCACATTCAGTGCACAGGAAAGGCTTGTAGCCAGTGTGGGTGAACCGGTGTTTTTTGAGATGGCAGAGCTGAAGGAAGGCCTTGCCGCATTCTCCACAGCGATATCTTCGCTCACCAGCCTCATCCCTGCATGGCAGGGACTTTTGCTGAGATGCACCCAGGCTCCCAGAGGGTCCCTCCTCCAGTTCAATACTGACTTCTACCTCTGGGTAATCGTCCTGTTCATCAGAACCATCAACCAGGACATTCTTCTTGTACTCCAGGGGCTCCAATTTGGAATGGCCTTTAGAAACATGCCCTACTTTCTTGTGTGTCTCTGCACCACCTCCCTCAAAAGTGCTTGGCCTCTTGGCCTCCTGCCCAGACACCCTGGCATTGTGCTCCTGCAGACACTTCTGGAACTGGCTTGCCATTGCATGCACTTTGCGTGGCTTCCCAGCCAAGCGAGCGCTGAGTCGAACCCCATTTGAGGCAGACAATGGCAGATGGAGCTTCCCATGACCTGCCTCTTTTGGTTTCTCATCTGCTCTCTCAGCCTTGGGTTGGGGGTCCATCCCTTTGATGGACTCCTCTTTGCATCTGCTGTTAGCCTTAGCTGCTGAGGTACTCTCACAATGCTGTTTCTCTTTCCTCTGAACCTTGGCTTCCCCAGACTCATGTCTAGGAGTCATGCTTTCCTCCTCCTCCTTCCTGCTGTTATCCTGCAGCCCATGGGACTCATGTCTAGGAGTCATGCTTTCCTCCTCCTCCTCCTTCCTGCTGTTCCCATGGGCTGCAGGATAACATTTGGCTGGCTGCTTCCTGGCTTCAGCTCTGGTTTCATTCTCCATCACCTTGGAGTAATCCGGATCCCCTGCACAGACACACAACAGGGGAAAAATCAACACTGGCTATTGGAAGACAGCAGGCTTGTGTTGTCTGGAACAGAGAAAATGGGGGAAGTTAGACAGAAGTTTCACCTCACCCAGGAACATCAAGCATCTGGCCTAGATATCTCTCTCCAAACAAGGGAGGAATTTCAACCCCAACATTCAGGCAGGACTTTGGTGAGCTAGGTCATGGGTGGTAAGGCTAGGACACTGCAACGTTCTCCATTCTGCATTGCTACTTCCTGAAGGGATGTTGGGTCAGGGTGTTAGTCACAGGGCCCAGGGAGCCTGCAGGGCCAGAGTATTGGCCATTGAGCCCCAGCTACTAGTGTGCCTTCCGGACTCCTCAAACATGGATAGTTCTAGATCAACATCAATGCCAGGGGGTTATTCAGAGCAGGAGAATGCTTCCACACAGGTGTGATTAGAGCCATGAGGAATCACTTCTGAATGGTATGTAGTTATAGCTACTTTGGAGACAGCAGCCCACCCCCCACCTGGGTATTTTACCAGCAGCAAAACAGGCAATTCCCTATTACACTTCCAGAATGCTCACAATAAATATACCACACCCCAAGTAGATTCTTCCTCTTTCCTGGCACACAAAGCAGCTAGATGGTGTCCTCCTCACCATACTACACCCTCCTCTTCTGAGAGAGTGGGGAAAGCAGGACAGTATTACTTCCCCATTCCCAAGGGGAGGGGCCCAAGTCCCTACAACAATGGAGAGGGGGGAATCTCTTACTGAATTTATAGGGCACTCCAAATTCACTATCCCAAGGGTTAGCAATCCCTGGAGCCTGCCTTATTCTGGAACTGCACCAGTGCTCCAACCTCAGAGAACACTCCAGTTATGGGGCTCCAGAATCATGTAGTGATCTTTGCTTAACAGCACTGTAGTCACGGCTTTTTCATAAGAGAACGAGGTCTGCATGTCCTGTGAAAGGAATGTACCTGCAAAGGGTTCTGATGCATTTCCACATGGGGAGGCTCCTTCCCTTTGCACCACAGTCTCTGCTCCTGCCGTTGCTATCTCCGTCACAACTGCAACTGCCAGTTGTCCCTTTGGCTTCTTCTCAACAGGAACAGCTATACCCTCCAATGTGCTCAGCAGCATTTTTCCCTCCACCTGGACAAGATCAGCTTGAGCCTCGGTAGGCCAGTACAGCAACTCAGTGCCTGCTGCAATATGACGCCGCACTTGGACTTGGAGTCTTCCACTGATCCATACCAAAGCCACATTTGTCTCCTCCTCCCTCTGGCCTTGCTTCACCAAGCTGTAAGACACCAAGCACAAGGTCAGCACCCACTTGGGGCATGAGGAGATCCTACTACCTTCAATAGGAGTGCTAGGCTCTGAAGGCGTCAGGCTCCTCACGGCATTTCAAAGCAGCAGCGCTCCATGGAGCCCAGGATCAGCTGGGGACTCTCCAACTGATCCTGGGCTCCATGTAGTGCTGTCACTTTGAAATGCTGTGGGGAGCCCAGCATCAGGCTCCACATGGAGTTTCAAAGCAGCAGTGTTGCATGGAGCCCAGGGTCAGTGGGGGAGTCCCCTGCTGATCCTGGGCCCATGTGGACCTGCTGCTTTGAAATGCTGCATGCAGTCTGGGGACACCCCAGCTGGCCCTGGACTGCACACATTGTTTCAAAGTGGCAGCACCATGTGGAGCCTGGGGTCTGGTCCTGGGCTCCACATGGCTCTGTTGCTTTGAAGCATTCCCTCCTCCCTCCCCCACTTGCTGCCTCTTTCTGATAGAGACAACAAGGGGGCAGGGATGCCCAGTGAACTAGTGTGTTGACTATCCAATAAGCATTAGCCACTTACATCCCTATTCACATTTACATGGTGTCTTTCATCCTGAAGAAGCTTGAATACTAATTGTACAGCCAGGAGCATTTCCCACCCCTGAAATGCTGCCAGCTGTGGGATGGAACACAGAAGATAGCACCTTCTAGCCACACAAGATTCAAGTAGAGCACAAAAACAACTGAAAAATGCCCCAGGATGAGTTACCAACACCATATTCTGAAGCACCTGGGCTATTTCTTGGTAGTCTGCCATTCATGTATTGATCAAGCCTGATTGCCCATCCCGCAAAAATGTTATAATGGCTATAGATCCTCTCTTTACACTTATCAGGAAGTCCCAAAGGTGAAATCTTATGCTCTTTCATATACAGTTACTAACCTCCTCCAACTAGAGCTCATCTCACAAATGGATTCATCACTGCAGCAACCAGACTGAATTTCCTGAAATGCAAAATGAATTCAGAATAGTCTTACAAACCCAGTGGCTGCCCATTAACTGGAAGCTGGCTGATGTTCCTCGCACTTCCTGCGCCCATTCTCTACACAGCAACTCAGGCACTCAGAAATAATAGTGACTGGCAGACAATAAGGACGAGGCCTGACACCTAGTGATGGGTGCTTGCATACTTTCCCTTCTACGTTGGAAATACTGAGGCAAAGGCTGCACATGGGAGCCAGGCACCAGCCAGTAAAGAACAACGGGCTCTAGCAGATGGGGATCATAGCTGGACACCTGGCTCCCTTAGCATGGCAGTGCCAGACTGAATGACTGGGCTGGGATCTTCATCTCTCCCCCTGCCCCACTTCTTTCATGACGAGCTTCTGTGGGGGAGGCAGCAGCCTCTCCAGGAATTGAAATGGGGGGGGTCGAATTTACAAGGGGGGTGTCAGGGCCCAAAAGCAAACCATTCCGCTGTGTAGGAAAGATAGAAAATATGGCAAAAGACCAGCTTGGCTTAACAAGGAGATCTAGCATGATCTCAAAATAAAAAAGGAGTCATATAAAAAATGGAAACTAGGACAAATA